ATTTAACAAAACCAAATAAAACGAGCATGTTCATACACATAGAACAGAAAAAAAAAGATTTATACATGAATTTACTAATCTCTTATGTACAGGTTACTTTTCTTTAGAAATATATAGTATATTAAACACTGGGTTTAGAATCAGGAAGACTCATTTTCAGGAGTTCAAATTTGGCCTCAGATCTTTACTAGCCATGCAACCCTCAGTAAGTCACTTAATCCTGTTTGCCTCAGTTTCCTCATCTGTAAAATGAGTTGGGGAAACAAATAGCGAATCACTCTGGTATCTCTGCAAAAAAAACAAAACAGAAAAAAGAAAAAAAACTCAAATGAAGTCCCAAAGACTCAGCCACAACAACAAAACATATTAAACATCTGATGTTTAAAAAAAACAATCTCTTTGACGAGTGCTGGCTATATGAGAAATGGCAGGTTATGTCTCCACCAGGGCTGCTTCTCAGAATAATGGCTGAGGGAACTGGGCTGGTGGCAGGCCTATTCCCAAGGCTCTGGGGTTCAGGGGATTGAGGTGTTCCCACGTCTAGAGACAGATGATAGTCAAGGCGGTGGTGGGGCACTGACTTGCTGCACGCATGCTGCTTCCTGTCTCTCTGTCAGTGTCTTGCTGCTTCAGCCAGGTTGGTTTTTAGGAGGTTAGCAGTTGGTGAGTATGGCTGGTCCTCTTCCATAGAAGTTGCTTCTCAAATGATGGTCCTGGGAGCTAGGATAAAAGCAGAGCTGGTTGCCTGGGATACACTGGGGTGCACAGTCTCAACACTCCTGTATCCTTCTGACTATTGGTGGCTGTTGATGGGCATGTTTTCATTGGTGGTGATGAGCTGTGTGGGCCCCCTTTCCACAATGATTTTTCCCCTCAAAAAGGGCTGTAGCAGCTGTGCTAGAAGCACATTTCATCCAGTAGATGAGCACTTCTATTCTAAGGTTCAGCCCCGGGGCCTTCTCCACTGGGAGGTGAGGGGAGATGGTGGTCAGCACACGGTGATCCTGGCGGTTTGACTTACCTGTCACATGCTGCCTCCTACCTTTCCCTCAGGGTGCTGGGATGCTTTCAGCAGGGCACATGGGGCTCATTTTGCCTTTTAAGTCCATCAGTCCTCTGATAGGAAGTGGCTCTCATGTTTCATCTAAAGTTCTCAAGACTCGTGGTTGATCAGAGTTCTAAAGTCTTTTAAGGTTGTTCAAAGCTAGATTGTCTGTGATTCCTTCTGGCCTTCCATTATCTTCTATGTTTTAAAACTAACAACCACGAAACGTAGTGACCCCTTTACTTATTTATTTTGTTGTTGTTGTTGCTGTTGTTAGCCCACTCGCCACCCACATGGAGACCATTCCAATGTATCGCATGCTTGCCAATTCTGTGGCTAGTCAGGCAAATCTGTAAGCTGTTCTTGTCGGGTGGCCACTTTTAGGGTATGATAAAAATCTGGAATATAAAACTCAAAGGATTATGTCTCATCACGTGGTTAAACATTGCAGCAAACACTTTGATGGTGTCTGTACATAGTAGTTGTTTAATAAATTCTTCCTGATTGCATTATGCTACCTTAAAGAATCACATATTCGGGACTAGAAGGCATCTTACTGGTCTCTCACTCAACCCTTTCATTTTACAGATGAGGAGGCTGAAATTCGGAGTTTAAGTGACTTGAAGGTCACACACAAGTAGAGAGAGAGGCAAGATTGGAACCCAGATCCTCTAGCTCCAAATCTAGAGCTCTTTCCGTTGTGTCCTGTTACGTTTTGTCTTGTCACCGTGGCTGGTCACATGTGAAACACTTGGGGCCATTCCAGGACAATCTAGGATGTATTCAGAACCAAGAAAGATACAAGGGAGGTGAGGAAGTAAAGACAATCCTTGGGCTGCTGGAGATGGGCTCCTTCAGCTTGTTCTCCCAAGTGGAGGAATAAAGCTAGGAGATGTTTTCCTTTTTCTGAGGTCTAGTCACTCTGTATCCACAGGCTAACATTCACTTATTACAGAGTGTTATAAAAGCATAGCAAGGATCATTAGTTTTTTCTCCGCATGACATAACTGACATTTTAATTTAATGGAAAAAAATTTAAAAAAAGAATACTTAGAAGTATACAATGAGTCAAAACTTCTTCTTCATAGAAAAAACCATGATGGTCCTTGAATCAAAAGATAATAGAGGCTTGGGTGATGATAATAGAGGCGTGGTCAATTTGACCACCCAAATGAGTAATGTCACATTCAAATGATCCCTTTTGTTATTCAATGATAGACCTGGGTTTTCAATTTCCTTCCTCCCTCCTTCATTTGTCTTTATAATTAACCATAATTATCCCTTTCAAATAGCAAATATACATTTAGTTTAGGATTTGACCTACCTATCATTAATAGATCAGTTCCAATTTGCCAAAGAACCTTGTCATAACCCCTAAGAATTCTGGACTCAAACACGGTGTATACTGACTTTGGCAGCTTTCATCAAGAGATTTATGAGATATCGGACTGGTACCTGGTTTGATCTCTTGTCCTGCAGCAGCAGCAGCAACAGCAACAATAACAGCAAAACCTCACCAAGAAGCTGTAGGAGTAAAGTCATAAATATCTCTTTCAGGTTGGCAAAACACTAGAGCCATATTATGGCACCTGGGCCTAAAACTTCTACTACTTGGGTATTAATTAGGTATTACTCTCTCTGTTTTACAGATAAAGAAACTGAACTTCTGAGAAGCTGAACGCCCTGTCCGGGGCTACAGAGCAGTTTCTGAGGCAGATTTAAATTCAGGTTTTCCTGATTCCAAGGACAACTCCCTATACACTGTCATGCACTGCCTCTCAAATCTCATCTGAGTCACTTTACCATGGTGGGTTTACTCATACACAAAGTGAAGAAGGGTGGTGGAATGATCTTGGAATCTGAGAATCTCACATCTGAAAGGGACTTTAGAAATCACCTGGTCTAAACCCAATAGGATATCACAACCACAGTTGGTTTGATCTAGGACCAGGAATCCACAATAAAAGATAAGTCTTCACGATAGGAATTTCACTTAGCATTTCATGAAGGGTATTCTTGTGTTTTGAAAACTTTTGACACTTCTAAATCAACCACAGATTTCTTTTTTCTTTCAAAGTCTTTACTTTTGTCCAGACTAGCAAAATAGCAGCTACATCAATAAAGGACTAAGCAGATGACTTTGAAAATGATGACCTCCTTACAATCAAGTACTTGGGAGTGTGGAGAAGTAGAAGAGAGGAGATGGCAAGAATAAAATTGACAAATTAGAATGCCTCCAAAGGAAAATGACCATCATGCAGTTCAAGCAAAGTGATTTTTAGCAGAGAAAGAGAAGACAAATACCAGGCATTAAAGAAGTTTATATCTGACCCTATAGACAGTGACAAAGTACTTGCACAATTTCAGCATAGAAGTGACATAGTTAGGCTTGTACATTAGGACAATTATTTTGCTAGTTCTGTCAAGGATGTATTGGAAAAAGGAGAAATTGGAGACAGGGACACTGGTTAGGAGAATATTGTAATAGTTTAGGTGGAAGGTTCGAAGGTCTACATTAGGGTGGTGGCTGTGTCTTTGAAGAAGGAAAGCTGAATGTAGGATATGTTGTTGAGGTAGAATTGACATGATATGGCAAATGATTGAATTGTGGGGTCCAAGGGAGACAAAGGGATCCAAAAAGATGCTAAGATTTTGATCCTAGATGACATGAAGCTGGGTGTTACCATTAACAGTGATTGAGAGAATAGCCACATAGAGGAGAGAGGGGAAATAAGTTCTATTCAGGGTGTGTTAATTTTGTGTTGTATATGGGGCAACTTGGTGGAGATTTCAAGTTGACAATTAGAGATATATGGGGAAGGAGTTCAGGACAGAGGTTGTGGAGATAGGGAGATAGATAGATGAGAGAGAGGGAGAGGGGGAGAGAGAGAGAGACAGACAGAGAGAGAGAGAGAGAGAGAGAGAGAGAGAGAGAGAGAGAGAGAGAGAGAGAGATGGATAGATGAATGATACCACATATAGGGATACACATAAATATGAGATGATAGATTCTACATATATAGAAAGCTAGTATAGAGATAACAGATGATAGACAAATCAATAGGTAGATTTCTGTGTCACCTGAGAAGAAATGATAGACACAAAGGGGCAGAGGAGAGCAGTAAAACAGAGATCTCTGTGAGATCAATATAGAGAAGAGAGCCAAAGACAGAAACTTAGAGATGGCAGGAGGACATTGAATCAATAGAGGAGAGGAGGCATGGTCAGACAGGCAAGAGAAACCAGAAGAATTTATGGAAGCCAGGGAAAAGAAAGATTATCCAAAAGGAAGGTATATTCTACAATGCAATATGCTACAGAAAAGGCCAAAGCGTTAGAGGACTGAGAAAAAGCAATAGATTTGTGAATTATGAGATCAGGGATGACCAGAGAGAGAGTAGCACCAGTAGAGTGCAGATGTTGGAAACCAAATTTAAGGTGTTGCAGAGTGAATGGATGATGAGGAAGTAAAGCAACGGGGAGAGCCTACTGTTTCTAGCATTGTATAGATTACTTTTCTAAAAGGTCAGCAATGATGTAATAATAGCTAGAATGTATGAATACTTTGAAGTTCAAAAAGCACTTTACTCCATTATCTTACTTGCTCTTCACAACAACTTGTGTTGTGTTTTTCTTATCCCCATTTTACAAATGAGGATACTGAGGTTTTTTTTTTAATTAACCCATGTAGGTTTTATTATTATCCCAATTTTACAAATGAGGAAACTGAGGTTGGATCAGTCAGATGACTTTCCTAAGGTCACATATCTAGTGCCTGGTGAAGATTTGAACTCTGGTTTTCTTACTCTATCACACTCTGTCATACTCTACGCATTGTGTCTCCTAGCTACACAAGAAGTGGATTCATAGTTTGAAGCGATGTCACAAAGAAAGGATTTTTTTTTCAGATTGGGGAAACTGGAGTGTTTTTGTAGGCAGTAGAGAAGGAGCCAATAGTGAGTGAGTGATTGCCGGAGCACATTACTGGAGGGGACAGAAAGGGATACGATCACAGGCAGAAAATGAAGGATGTAACCTAGGCAAGGGAAGAATCAATTTGTCTTCTGAGACCATAATAAAAGAGGATGAGATGGAGAGTAGCCCAGAAGGGGAGATGAAGTTGCTCGTAAAGGATTGCCTCCATCTTTCAGCAAAGTAGGAGGATACATCTGCTCAGAAAAGAGGAGGCGAGGAAGGAGTAGAGGATGTTAGGAAAAAAGAAAATGTTCAGCACAGTTACTTTCAAAATTGTTTCAAAGACTCAAGGTCTTTTCTCACTGAGGAGACATAGTGTAGTGGACACTTGGGGTCAGGAAGACCATAGTTCATAGCCCCTCACCAATGTTTACTAGCAGTGAAGCTACAGGAGTCAATATCTTAGACCCTTAATTCCTCATTAGCTCACAAGATTGTAAAGAGGAGTGAATGAGAATGTTTCATAAAGTTTTAAAGGGCCCAATCTATCCCACTGGGAATTTTACCTGAAATTTTCAGACTAAATCAAATTCCTCTTCTACAAAATTGGCTGATGTTTATCATCCCCACTTCTCTTGTCCAAACCAGACATGATTTTCAGGCTTCTTGATATCTGAATTCTCCTTTTCCTGGATATCTGCTAGTTTGTCTCTGCCCCTAAAATTTTGTTGTTCAGTTTTTTTTTTCAGTTGTGTCCAACTCTTCATGACCCTATTTGGGGTTTTCTTTGCTAAGGTACTGGAGTGGTTTACCATTTTCTTCTTCAGCTCATTGTGCAAATGAGGAAATTGAGGAAAAGAGCATGAAGTGACTTTCCCAGGCTCACACAGCTAATGTGTCTGAGGCCAGATTTGAACTCGGGAAGAGAAATCTTCCTGACTCTGCTTCTTATGGATAGTGTCATGTAGCTGTCCCACCCTCCTACAAGAGGCAAGGCAAATATCTACACCCAGAACTTCAGACCTGGCATGACTAGTGGAAAGAACAGCAGGCCTATTAATTTCTTTACTCAAGTATGCTCTCTAATGTAAGAGAAGACTAGAAATTGAGAGCTAGAAGGAGCTAATCCAAATCCTTTGTTTCTCAATCAAACACAGGCCCAGAAAGGAGAAGTGATTTCCCTGAATGTACTTGGATATAGAATGAAAGAGACAGCATTGAAACCCACATTCCCCAGGCTCCAATTTGGGCATTCTTTTCACTACACCATATTCTTTGAAATATCTCATTTGACCTCTATTCATCAAAGCTTTTTGGACATTTAGTTATGGAGCCAATTGCATGGAGCCAATATTTCTCCGTTCTATATTTAAGGGTCTCATAACAGGCTTCCCTACTCCCCCTCTCCCTCTCCCACATTTTTCTCTTTCATTTCTGGAATGAGTAGGATGAAATTTTTCTCTTTGTTTTTGTTTTTCTTTTTGTAATAAAAAAGATAAGGAGAATAGAGGTGTGGAAATCCAAATTAAATTCATTTAGAGGCTTAGAAATTGGACCTATATCACTGATTAACCATTTTTTATACATTTTCTCTCCTCTTACCTCCTGAAGCAATGCAGCATAGTGCATTTTAATTTCTTTTGTTTTATTTCATTTCATTTTGAGACAGGGTCTCCCTCTCTTGCCTAGGCTAGAAGTTCACTGACCACTCGTAGGCATGATCCCATTATTCATCAATACAACAGCTCTGACTAGCTCTATTTTCAATCTTGGTTCATTCTCCTTAAGCACGCTGGTGGCCCTTGGCTCCTGGAAGCTCACCATATTGGTGCAAGAGTAACAACAGATACCAGATCAACTTTAACTCTCCTGTAGCTCAAAACACCCAAGCTCAAGTAACCACCAGTCTCAGTTTCCCTAGTAGCAAAGAATACAGGTATGCATCTTTCTTCTCTGTTACCATTGGCTTGAGCCCCCCAACCCCCAACTATGTTCTGTCTATTGTTAGGAATGACTAGTTCCTCAGTTCCATTTAACCACTTACTACTGAATACATTTTATTTTTTAAAAAGTATTTATTTAAAAATATAGTAAGAACAAATTTAAAAAATGTTTCATTCCCCTTCTCCCCAACACCTTGGGTGCACATGCTGCCTTATATTACCCCAGGTTATGGGACGAGTCGGCTCTAGATTTAGTGCAGCTCCCAAACAGCATTGATTCTAGCAAAGTTTATGGACGAATGCAGCTTGACTACTTAATAAGCCCTCATCCTAGATTCCACTGGCCAGGTCTGGAAGGGCATTCCTTGTTCCTTGGGACATTAATGTTGGACTGGCTACAAAACCCAGCCTGGAATTCTGAGACATCAAAGCACTCTTTGGACTCTAATGCCAGTATGCTCTGGATTTTATGAAACTCACCATGGAGACTTCATTCTCTTCACTTAGAAGAGAAAAAAATGGAAAGGCCAAGGAACCAAGCCTTTTGATGGGGCCATATGGCCTTGGAAAAGAGAAGTTTACATGAACTCTTCCCTCATGACCATTGTTTCTGAGTGAATGCTGTAAGAGAAGTCCCCAAATGAGAAAAAGTAGCTGAAGCTACAATACCCTGTGAAAGCTTCTGCATACAAAGAGCCTCCTCTTCAATCCATGGTTAGATGACCAGAGTCAGTTCTAGAATATTCATAATCACTTCATTGTCTCTCTGAACTGTTTTCATTCTAAGTCATTGTGACTCTGTAGGAAGCAAGCTGTGGAGCTTTTGCCTTCTTATGGAGGTGGCATCTCAAGCAATCTGAGGCACCCTGTGTGCCAGTCCCATATTACAAATAAAATATGTAAGGTCCTGTACTTGGTATTGAATGAGGCATGCAAAATAAAAGAGAAACAAGATGCTGGCAAATAGTGTCTTATAATCTAGCAAAGCAACTAAAATAATCCCAAACTATGTTACAAAACAGAATCTGAAAGGTTCAGAGGAGGCATTCAGGTAAAGCTTTCCAAGTGATCCAAGACAAAGTGATTTGCACTCTACTGGAGGAAACCAGGGAAAGCCTCACAGAGAAAGGGGCCACATTTGAGCTGGGCCTTGAAGGATGGGTAGGATTTCAAAAAGCAGAAATAGAATACATGAGAATTTAGTGGTGTTATCTCTTGCTCTCTTATGTCTGATTTTTTTTTTGAGGAGGAAGAGATAGACTTTTAATTTTTTTTGTTATTTTGCAGTCTTTTCTACCTAATCAAATTGTTTAAACAACATCATTGTGATATTGAAAGTGCTTCATATTTTTAAGAAACATTAATTTAAGTAAAAACTATGTGTTCTTAACAGTTTGAGTTGAAATGCTCGTTATTAGGATGAAACGTTAAAAAAAAAAAGGGCCCAGGGGGCACTGTGAACAAACTTAGCAAGGCAGAAAAGGTCAGGTTGAATGAGGGAAATTATGAATTTTCCTGGTTTAGCCAAATATAGAGATTAATCTAACTTGGCACTCTAAATTTGAGTACTTTGTCATATGAAATATGAGAAGAGAATACTTCAAGCTTTTCTTTTTATTTTCTCTCTTTCCGATTCCCCCCTCTCACCATGATGCTTTCATATTGTTTGGGCCTCTCTTCCATTACACACCATCACTACAGAAGTGAATGGAAGCTATCCAGGACTGAATGAGGGCCATGATGCCTTTTAACTCTTTCATGGATAGTTAACTATTGCCAAAAAAATTGATTATGGAGTGGTTAAGTTGACAATAGGCCTTTCTGTAAGGCTTCCTCCACAGACATCGGACAAGTGCTTACATCCTGATCATATTTGAGTCCTCTGCTAAAATTCTATTATTTGTGCCTTACTGAAGGAGTAGTAATACTCAAGAGTGGCAAAATACAAATGATTTTTTATCAATAACCAATGAACTCAGGTAGTTCCCAAACAGGCATTTATGTGGGTATGCCACCACCACCACCACCACTTACAAAAGACAGGGAATTTATGGAAGACTTTGTATAGAAAGACAGGATGAACAAAAGACTTTCATCTTGGTTTTAGCTGTAGTAGTGACTATTGCCTGAATCTGCCCAGTCAAATTATATACTAGTCAAAAATATCTACAATGTCTCCATGACTCTCTGTGGCATACCCAAGAGCCATATGAATTAAGTTGCTCAGTGGTTCAGTTATGTCCATCTCTTCGTGATCCCATTTGGAGTTTTCTTGGAAAGATAATGGAGGGTTTGCTATTTCACTCTCCAGCTCATTTTACAGATGAAAAAATAAACTGAGGCAAACAGAGGTAAGTGACTTGCCCAGGATGAATCTTCCTGACTTTGGACCTAGCACTCTGTCCACTGAAGCATCCCCTAGCTCTCTGAATAAAAGGGCTGCCAAGTAGTATTGGCTTATTACATTAATAAAAAACCTGGATTGAGACAATTGAGATTGAAAACTTCCTGTATTGGGTATTATTTCACAGGGATATTCTCAGGGTTTTACTCTCATGAAAACATAAGCTCCCCTACTTAATCTTCATCAACTTTAACAAAACTTATTCATCATGTTGTAGTTACTGTTACGGAGATGCTGCCACAGTGTGGACCAAGGCCCTTCACAAGAGCAAAGATTGCACCTGATGGTCATTCCTCTAATGATGGCTTTCTGAACTTATTTAGGCTGGCATTAGGACAATGACACATGCTTAGGTGCCCTAACTGTACTAACGCCCTCTAGCTTTCAGGTCCTATGCCCTGCTGACATTGTCTTTGAGGCCCAGGGTAACTTTCATGCCACCTTGAGGCCCTTAAAAAGAGTTCATGGCCATAATACAAAGCACTTTTTTTCCTACAAAAATGGGACCAATTTTCTATTGACTGGGGTGGGGTGGGGAGATCAGCATTAGACAGTCGGGTTGTTGAAGTTGAATATAAAGGAGTTTACTGCAGTTAATTCAGTCTTATTTTTCTTACACTCAGGCTGGGTTCATAGATTATCCTACAGGCATAAGTTATTTTGATTGACTAAACTGGTCAAATCCATTAAACTCCTTGCCATCCTCACCAAATAAAAAAGCTAGTTTCATCTTTGTTTATTTATTTGGCTGATAGGTGTGGAGAACACCAAGCAGAGAAGAGATTTACTTGCTTAGCCAGATAATCCAATCAATAGTTAAACTGGTTTGTACTCATACACACCACCTGGGATAATTTTAATCTTTAGAATTTTTTTTTTAACACTTGTCCTCTGATACGGCAATTAATAATGTTATGGACAAGGTAGCTATATAATGAAAATGTCCCTGCCTTGAATTTGTCACTGGGATTGGTTTGTAGACCTTAGGCCAGAACTTAGGTAGAGCTGAAATGAAATCTTCTGCTCAAAAGACCATGTTTCATGTTTGACACTCAACTCTGGATTCCTGCATTAGTTGTATTTATTATGGGGTACTTTAAGGTAATCATAATTGTGCTAATATCACTTGACCTCCTTCCCACACACACAACCAGTGCCAACTCTACTAATACACCAAGCAGAAAGCAGAAATCAAATGGCAAAGTATAGAGTGTCCCAAAAGTCTTAGTGCCATTTTGAGCTTTAATAAGTAGCAGTACAAATGCTACAAACTTAGAACAATATCATTTGAAAATTAAATTATTTATATTCTTTTTACCATTATTTACTTTTGTGAATTTTGGATAATGTATTCTTTTAATTTTTAGTGTAACAACTCAGGGTATCCTTTCATTATGCATATGAGTATTTCTGGGGAAGAGGACAGCTAGATCATGAAATGGATACAGTACTGGGCCTGGAGTCATCTTCCTGAGTTCAAATCTGTCCTCAGACACTTAGTAGCTGTGTGACCCTGGGCAAATCACTTAACCATGTTTGCCTCAGTTTCCTCACCTGTAAAATGAGGTGGATAAGTAAATCACAAATCACTCCAGTATCTTTACCAAGAAAACCCCAAATGGGGTTAGAAAGACTCAGATACAACTGAAATGACTGAACAACAATAACAACAACAACAGTTTCTGGATGTCACTTTCTCAGGCCAATAGGTTCGCCCCCTCAGTCACCTGACCTATCTTTATTAGATTATTTGTTTTTGTGGCTTCAAATCAAAACCCTGATATGTGATCAATACCCATTCTTTGGAATCCCTTAAGGCTAAGACTACAAATACAACCCTTTATTCACTGAAGAATATCTAATGAAAGTTCTACAAAGTTTGAAATTTGGCTAAAATGACGTACAGCACAATGCAGTGTTTATTTTAAAGTGTAATAAGAAACATAAATAATAAGAAGTTATAAAAAAAAACTAATTTTCTTGTGTTTGTAGCATTCACTTTTTTGAAGTTATTAAACTTTAAAACTGCACTAAGACTTTTGGGACACTGTATTTAATTGTGACATACTAGCAAAGGGAAAAAGAAAGGAAAAATCAAGCAAAAGAAACATGTTCAGTCCCCTTCAACACCACACAGAAATGAGTGCTCTCTCTTTACCAATTCATGCCCCAGTTGGAAAGAATTTAATATCTTCTCCCTGAGCAAATGCTAGAAAACTCACACTCATAGGGTAGGGAGAGTTTATGCTTCAGAGCTGCCTAAGACAAGAAGATCTTGCTGTTTTTTGGTTCCATGTCCCACAATTCCTTGGAATTCCAGGAACTCTCTTGTTGTCATTATCCTATTCCTCATTTACTCCCTCTGAGGCTTAAAGAGTTTAGTCCTTGGTGAAAATTTCAGATTTGATTTTTGATTAAGAATCTCCAAACAGGAATATGCCAGTGAAAGTCAAAGATTAAAAATAAATTAAAGAATCCTAGAATCCCAGAGTTTGAAGCTTCTCTGAGTTTATCCTAGTCTAATTGTTATCATTTTACTAATGTAGGAACTATCTAACATCCAGAATGGTTGATTGGCTTTTTCAGGGCCATAGCACTAATAATTAAGAAGGCCAGGATTAAAAACATGATCTTCTATTTCCAAATCAATCCTCTTCTCACAATAACACACTGAATATCCTGGTTATAAAAAAAAAAGGAAAAAAAATCACATAAATTTGTTTTATATCACAAATATTTAAGAAAATTCCAATTTTTTAAAACTGTTTCTTATAAAATTTAGCAACCAGAACTGATGTCTTATTTGGGAAGGGTAAGTGGGAAGTATTATGTCCTTTGATATGAACACGTCCCTTCTTGTGAGATAACTCATAAATATTCTGCCTATAGATGCTAATCTGTCTAGTACTGAAACAAAATTCCCATAACAATCCAGATTCAGAGAGACTAAGAAGAGAAATTCAGACAAGTCCAAGACAAAAATGAACATAGATGAATGAAAAAAAAAAGATTTGGATCGATGGTGGATCTGTGATCTGAAAGACATGAAATCTCCATCTAATTTTAGTGTATGTTCTGCCAAAGCAAACAAGATACTCTATCCAAAAGGACAAAGTTGACGTTCTTGCCTGTAATTCAATAAATTCTTCATAGAGCGTCTAGCTAGCACCCTGGAAGACTTCTGTTTCTTTTAATACTTATTTGATACAAGATCATGTTGAGTTGCCCAGGGTTACAGAGCTAGTAAATGTCTGAGGCCGGATTTGAACGCAGGAAAACGAGTCTTCCTTATTCTATGCACTATGGTGCCACCTAGCTCCTCTGCTGCATCACTGTATATCCATATGTTATTCTTCAGCTCTTGTTAGGTGATTGATCCATCTCTATTTTTGTTCCTAAAAATCTATGATGATGATGATGTCTTGAGAAGGATGAAGGTCATGTTCAGTAATATGCTACATCAACTTATGCCTACTACATGTGTTTCTTTCCCTTCTCCTTTGGGTGGCCTGCCATTCCAATGCTTCGGAGATTATGGGAATACCATGATATACA